GGCCCCGGCCGGGCCCCCCGCCTCACGCGCGCCGCTCTCCCCGCAGGACAAGGAGAAGAAGAAGAAGGAGAGCATCTTGGACCTGTCCAAGTACATCGACAAGACCATCCGCGTGAAGTTCCAGGGCGGCCGCGAAGGTGAGCGCTCGGCGCGGCGCGGCGACGGCGGGGGCGCGGGAAGGGCGCGGCGCGCGCGAGGCGCAGGACCAGGGGCGCGAACGCACAGACGCCCGCCGGGTGGGGACTGGCCCCGTGGCCCCCGTGGATCTGCGTGCCGGGCCAGGGCGCCCCGGCTCCTGCACCGTGCGGGGCTCGTCCGCCAGGAGCACCCCGGTTGTGACGACCGCAGACGTCCCCGACACGGCCCAGGGCCCTGCCGAGCGCCCATGGAGTCTCGCCCGCGAGACCCTCCAGAGCTCCCGGTTCTGGGCGAAGGCACACCTGTACCCCGGGGCCAGCCGTTGGCTGCAGGGCTGAGAAGGCACCTGCCCCCGGCCCCTTCCCGGGGTCTTGCTCTGGGAAGCCTGCCCTGGCCTTCCAGCCCCTGCCCCCGCAAGGCTCAGTAATAGGCCCCTGGTACCACTTTTGCTTTAGTGTGCGTGCACTTGCCAGAGAGAGAAATCACCCCCACCGCCACCCCCAGGGAGGATGGCCGTCCTGCAACCCCCTCTCCTCCGTTCTCCTGTCAGGATTTGGGCATGCACACCCACATGCCTGGTGTTTTCCAAGCCGCCGGGTCCAGGACTTGAACCATGCAGTTGACCATGTGGGATCCCATGCCTTACCCTCCATGCCACCTGCTGACCCAGCCTTTGGCAGTTTCCATATCTTTAACACGGCCTTGGACTCCACTGGGGAGCCAAGGGAGGGAGGGCCCAGGGCCGTGTAATCCCGGTGGGGAGGGCAGCCGGCCGCGGGACTCTAGCATGCTGCTGCCCACGGCAGATGGGCGTCCCCACCAGGCCGCCGACGGCTGTGCGGGGGGCCAGCCCAGGGGTCTCTGTCACAGCCACTCAGCTCTTTAGGAAAGGTGGCTCAGACAGTGGGTGAGCATGGCCGCGTGCCAGTAAAACTTGGTTCCCAGACAGGGCAGCCTTGGGCGGAGGGCCAGGGTTTGGAGCCCTGCGCGCTGTGAGTACTGCAGCACGGACTCATGCCTGCCCCTGCCTTTTGGGGAAGACAAGCCGGTGGGAGAGCGACACAGTGGGGTACCCGGTTCATGAAGCGATTCCGGAACGGAGCCGGGGGTCGGGGAACTCGCAGCTTGATGAGGGTCCTGTCCTGGGGGAAGAGGCTGGGTCAGGAGAGGGGAGTGAAGGGGGAGGGCAGACTGCTGGGGAGGAGCCTGGAGGGGCGGGGCAGGGGTGGACCCAGGCGGGGCGTCCAGCGTCACAGAGCTGGAAGGTGTGCAGGTGCAGCACCTGTCACAGCCGAGCCCTAGGACGGCACAGCCCCAGGACAGGAGGGGGATGCAGCGGGGCCAGGCCGAGAGCCTGCGAGGGCTGTGGGGGTGTGCAGTGGCTGCTGGGGGGCCCCGCCCAGGAAGGCCGTATTCCAATCCAGGCTGGGCCAGGCCAGGTGCCCGGTCCCTCCGTCCCCTCTGCAGGCCCCCAGCCCAGCACATACAGTTATCAACCCGACTGGGCCGGGCTTCGAACACTGCCGCCACGTGGACTGGCTTGTCCTGGCTTGTCCTGCTTCCCCGCCTGAGGCAGAATTCGCACCAGGCGAAGCGAGCGTTGTGGAGGCCCCTCAGCTGCATTCGTGCGTTTGGGGTCAGGCAGCTGCCACCTCTGCCCGGTTCCAGAATGTTCTCAGCCCTGGCAGGAAGCCCGTCTCCCTAAGCACTCGCTCGCCCCACCGCCGGCCCCGGCTTTCTGAGCCTGTGGGTACCGAATCCTGGACATCCTGGTGGTCCGGGCACCGGGTTCCACGTGGCCGACTGCCAGTGGAATCCCAGACCTGGCGGCTTGAGAAACACCCCAGGGGTGTGTGCGCCAGTGCCCAGATCCCGAGGGGAAGGGGCGTGG